TGACATCTAATTTACTGTTTGCCTGGAATTGCTTCATTCCATAGGAACAGAAATGCCTGCATTTACCTTATGGGAGGAAAACATACTTGAAAAGAAGAGGAAGCCAAAATTGGGACCATAGCAGGGAAGCACACTATTCACACATATAGAATAAAAAGAACAACATATTTTCAGACAAATTTGAAGGTGCCTCCATTTCCCCCAGCTTCAGCACGACTTGAATGAACGACTGTTCTTTTATCCTGTTATGCCTATGCCTGCCTTGTTTGCTGTCATATGCTTGGCAAAGTGGGATTTTCCACTTGCAAACTCTGCTTACACAAAATACGATTTCCAATTGCTTCATTTCATGTGTATATTTTGAGGATATTTTTATTTAGCACACATTACCAAATGGCTGTGTAATTTGTTTGCTTTCTGAATTTTTATTTAACTGTGGTAAAATTTAATGAAAAGTTTTCCAATTTCACCACGTTTAAGCATACAATTCAATGACATTAATTGCTTTATGTTGTGCTACCATCACCACCATTCATTTACAACTTCTCCATCATCCAGAAAACCAGGAACTCAGCATGCTTGTCAGCAGTATGCCCAGCCTTGTCTCCCCTCAGGGCCTGGTAACCATTACGTACTTTGGTTCCTAGGCATTTGCCTATTCTAGATACTGCACGAAAGTGGAATAATACAGTATTGATTTTCTCATGTCTGACTTATTTCTTTCAGCATAATATTTTCAAGGTTCATTCTTGTCATAGCATGTATCAGAATTTCATTTCTTTTCATGGTTGAATAGGTATTTTTATGCAAATAACACATGCCTTCTACTTTGGCTTGCCAGAGCTAGTATGCCGTTTTTTAATATGTTGCTGTAATACTTCATTGTGTGTATATATCACATTCTGTTTAATCAAGTCATCAAATGCTGAATACTTAAGTTGTTTGATAATTTCGCTGTTGTTACTAATGCTGTAGTGAACATTAGTGTACACATACTTGTTTCAGTCCCTGGTTTCAAGACTATTAGGTATCTACCTAGATACCAATACTTGTTGGGTTCCAATTTTCTCATAATTGTCATCTGAATGGTTGTGAAATGGTATCTCATTGCAGTTTTGATTTGCATTTCTCTAAAGACTAAAGACTAATAAAAAATCTGGTCCTAAGAACCTTATAAATAACAGTGGAACATTGTCTGACGCAGTGTAAGAAGATTAGCTCATTATGTGTCCCCCTCCGCCCTCTGACAATTGGATATGGACCTGTCACCCAGACTTGCTCCAAGAGGGCCAATGTGTAAGCAGTAGTTCAAAGCATTCTCTCAGAAGTCAGATGGCCTGGAAAAACACCCCGGCTCTGCAACACTACTGAGATTTGATTTTGGGAAACCTACCACTTGTGCCTCAGTTTACTCACCTGTCACATGTCACATATATGAATACCCACCTGAAAGGCACTCAAGGTATGACTGGTAAAGAGCGACGTCATCCAAGCAGAGTTGACTTTAATGACTTGAAAAGAGTAAAATGCTCAGGATCTCCATTTACTGGTGTGACCTGCAGAGAGGCTGGTGGTTTTGAACTGCCAATCTTGCAGTTAGTAGTCCAACGTGTAAACCCAGTACACCACCAGGGCTCCTCCTTTAGGAAACCTGGGAGTCATCAAAAAATGAAATGGAATGCATAAAGATGGATACCGAGGTTTTAGTGAGCTGAAATAGACTGGCATTGTCAATTTTGAATCAGACAAATACATGGTCAAATATGCTGGGAAAGAAAAATTGGGGTGGAGGGAACGTGAGGTGGAAAGGGGGAATCGATTACAAGCATCTACGTATAACCTCCTTTCTGGGGGATGGACAGCAGAGAAGAGGGCAGGGAAAGACATTGGACAGTGTAACATTTGACAAAATAATAATAATTTATGAATTCTGAAGGATTCATGACGGAGAGAGACAGTGAGGGGGGAGGGGGGAAATGAGGAGCCGATATTAAGGGCTCAAGTAGAAGGCAAATGTTTTGAGAATGATGATGGCAACAAATGTACATATGTGCTTGACACAATGGATGTATGTATGGATTGTGATAAGAATTGTATGAGCCCCCACTAAAATGATTTAAATTAAAAAAAGAAAAGAAAAATTGAAGCATCACACTTGTTGTCAAAAAGGACATTTCAAGATATGTCCTGCAGTACAACAATAATATTTATATGCCTACCAGGAAGCTCAATTAATATGAGTATTCCTTACTCATACACCAACTACTAAGGACAAAGAGGAAGAAATTGAAGACTTTCACTAACTTCTGCATTCTGAATTTGATCAAGCATACATTTTTCAACATATAAATGGCGATTATACATGTAAACTTTACTGGATGTCATACATAGAAATCAAATTGACTATATTTGTGGGGAGAGTCCATAGAAAAGGACAATAGAACAAGGCCAGGGATCAACTGAGAAACAGACCACCAATTGCTCATATGTAAGTTCAAGTGGAAGCTGATAAAAATTAAACCCATGGGTCAAAAAAAAGACAAAAAAACCCATGAAGCCAAAGTACAACCTGAATTTAGAGACCATTTCAAGAATACACTAAACTCATATGTATGATATTAGAATGATAATGACCAGAGAGTTGTGGGATGACATCAAGAACATCATATATGAAGAAAGGAAATCCATTAAAAAAAATAGAAATGAAAGAAAAGACCAAAATGGATCTCAGAAGATATTCTGAAAATTGCTCGTGAATATAGAATAGCTAAAGCAAATGACAGAAATTATGAAGTAAAAGAGCTGAAAGAAGATTTCAAAGTTTGGCATGAAAACAACAAAGAAAACTATTATAATGAAATGTGTAATGACCTGGAATTAGAAAACCAAAAGAGAAGAACACTGTAAGCATTTCGCTAGCTGAAAGAACTGAAACAAACAAATCCCAAATCCCCAGGCTTTCACTTTTAATATTGAAGGATTCTGTGTTGTCAAAATATGGAGCAAGATAGGAAACATTTAACAAATATAGAGGGAATATTTGGAGTCAGTATATCAAAAAGAACTGGTTGACATTTGCCCATGTCAGAAGATAGCCTATTATCAAGGAAGTCCAAGCTGCACTGAAGGCATTGACACAAAAAACCAAGGCTCCAGGGATTGATGGACTACCACTTGAGATGATTCAACAAATAATGCAACTGTGGAGCCCACTGGTGCCATGAAATTGGGACGACAGCGATTTGGCCAACCAACTGGAAGAGATCCATATCTGTGCCCATAAAATTAAAAAAAAAAAAGTGATTCAACAGAATGCGAGAATTGTCTAAAAATTTCATGAACATCACATGAAAGTCAAATTTTGCTGAAGATAAATAAAAAATGATTGCTGATGTCAGGTATATCTTGGCTGAAAGCAACAAATACCAGAAAGCTGTTTGCCGTGCTTTATTGACTATGTGTAGGCATTCAACTACGTGGATCTGGATCATAACAATATGGATCATTTTGTGAAGAATGGGAATTACAGAACTCTTAATTATGCTTATGCAATCTATAAATAGACCAGAAATCATTTGTTCAAACAGAATAAGGAAATACTATGTGGTTTAAAATCAGGGAAGATATGCATCAGGGTTGTATCCTTTAAGTATACTTAGTCAAACTGTATGCTAAGCAAATAATATGAAAATATAAGCTATATGAAGAAGAATGCTGCATCAAGATCAGAGGAAGTCTCCTTAGCAGCCTGTGACATGCAGATGGCATAAGCTTGCTTGTTGAAAATAAAGAGGACTTAAGGCCCTTGCTGATGAATATCAAGACTACAATCTTCAGTATGTATTACACCTCAACATAAAGAAAACAAAATTCCTCACAACTGGATCAATACTAAGCAACAACAGGATAAATGGAAAACAAGTTGAAGTTGTCATAGAATTTTGTTTAGATTTGAATCCACAATCAATGTTCATAGAAACAACAGTCACGTAATTAAATGGAATATTGCATTGCACAAATTTGTGACAAAAGACTGCTCTAAAGTGTTCAGAAGCAAAGATGTCACTTTGAAGACTAAGGTTTGCCTGGCACAAGCGACGACATTTTTAACCACCTTATATGCATGTGAAGCTAGACAACGAATATGAATGACTGAAGAATGGATGCCTTGGGATTGTGGTGTTGATGAAGAATATTGAATATACTATGCACTGCCAGAAAAATAGAACAAATTCGTTAAAAAAAAAAAAAAGACAGACAGAATGCTCTATACAAGTGAGGATAGTGATACTTTGTTTTCCGTACTTTGGGCGTGTTACCAGGAGGGCACAGTGCCTGGAGAAGGGCATCCTGCTTGGTAAAGTCGAGGGTTAGCAAAAGTTATGGAATGATAGAGTGGCTTCAACAATGCTCGCAAGCATAACAAAAATTGTGGGGATGGTGCAGCATTGGGCCCTGTTTCTTTTTGTCCTGTGTAGAGTCCTTATGCATTAGAACTGGCTGGACCTCACCAGCAATAACTAGCAACCATGAGGAATGTGGATTCCTTGGGTGTTGTAAATGGTTAAGAAGTGGGGTTCTATGGCACTTCAAACCCACCCATGGGCACTTTGGAAGAAATACAAGGTCAGCCAGGAAGACGTCCAGGAGCTCAGCGCCAGTCTGACGTCGAGGTGGTCGCCAGCAGTTCGAATCTGCTCGACACACTGGGGTATTTTGGTCAGAATAACTAACTGCTATGAGCATGTTTTAAATGTGCTCACTGGCCATTTGTATTAGTTATTTGGAAAGATGCCCAAAATTATGTGCCCAGTTTAACATTGGATTCTTAGTCTTTTTGTTGTTGAGTTGTAGGAGTTCTCGACGTATTCTGGGTTCTAAACTTTTCTCAGATAAGTAATTCCCCCAAATGTTCGTTCATTCTCCCTTTCTGATCAAAATCTCTCTGATGAAATTTTCAGAAGCATATAAATGTAAAATTTTTAGGAAGTCCCACTTACCTGCTTTGTATTTTATAGTGTATGCTTTTTGTGTCATAACTAAGATCCCCTTGTCAAAAAGATCTTCATCTTTTACTCCTATCTTTTCTAAACGTTTCATGGTTTTAGTTTTGTGCTCATATCATTGAGTAATTTTTAATTCATTTTGCTCTACAGTATGAGGTATAAAAAAATTGACTACATCTGTGGGAACGGATCGTGGAGAAGCTCAATATCAGCAGCTAAAACCATGTTAGGGCTGATTTTGAAACAGACCATCAATTGCTCATATGCAAGTTCAGGATATAGCTGAAGAAAAAATTTAAAGTCCACGAGAGCCGAAATACGGCCTTGAGTCTATCACACCTAAAGTTCCAGAACATCTCAAGAACAGATTTCATGCATTAACACTAATATCAGAGGACCTGATGAGCTGTGGGAAGACAAGACCATCATTCATTCATAAAGAAAGCAAAAGGTCACTCAAAAGACAAGAAAGAAAGAAAAGATCAAAGTGGATATCAGAAGAGACTCTGAAACTTGCTCTTGACCATAAAGCAAATGGAAGAAATGATGAAGTCAAAGAGCTGACCAGAAAATTTCAAATGGCAGCTCCAGAAAACAAAGTCAAATACTATAATGAAATGTGCAAAGCCTTGAATTAGAATACCAAAAGGAAAGAACACACACAATATATCTGAAACGGAAAGAGCTCAAGAAAAAATTCAAGCCTCGAGTTGCTGTCGTCAAGGATTCTATGGGCAAAATACTGAATGCTGCAAGAAGCACCCAGAGAAGATGGAAAGAATACACAGTCACTGTACCCGAAAGAACTTGTTGACATTCTCATTTCAGGAGGTAGCATATGATCAAGAATCGGTGATAGTGAAGACAATTTCATTTTCCTGGAATACCAATTAAAATGTTTCAACAAACCGATAAAGCACTGGAAACACTCCTTCATCTATTCCAGGAGATTTGGAAGACAGCTACTTGGTCAATTGACTGAAAGAGACCCATATTTGTACCAATTCCAAAGGAAAGTGACCCAACAGAATGCTATAGAACTGTAGAACAATATCACTGATATTACATGCAAGTAAACTTGTATTGAAGATCATCCAACAAAGGCTGTAGCAGTACATTGGCAGGGAGCTGCCAGAGGCTCAGGCTGGATTCAGAAGGGACATGGAACAAGGGATGTCATCGCTGATGTCAGATGGATCTTGGCTGAAAGCAGAGAATACCAGAAATATTTACGTGTGCTTGACTCACTAGGCCAAGACTGTGTGGATCATAACAAACTATAGATAACCTTAAGAAGAATGTGAATCCCAGAACACTTTATTGTGCTCATGTGGAACTTAAATACAAGGGGTACCCCCCAAAACTGGAAAAAATCTCCACTGGGCAGAGCTTTTGTAGTCCCTCTGGGTTAGTGCACCCAGTGACATCACGTGGGAATGTTCTCTCTGGTCATAGTGAATTTTTTCGTAAAAGCAGTTTCCCTCAAGCCTCATTTTTGTGATGGCCAATTTAACAGAATAGCATGTGGCTGTGAAATTTTGTTTTCTGCACGGGGAAAAACGCTGCAGAACACAGCTTACAAGGGCAGTGCTTTGGGAAAAACTTAAGTTTACAAGTGGTTTTCTCATTTCAAAAAAGGTGAAATATCGATTGATGACAAACCTCATTCTGGATGTCTGTCAACTTCCTAAATGGACAAAAATGTCGACTCGTTGTGCATTTGGATTTCATCCCACCAGGTCAGACTGTTAATCAAGCTTTCTATCTCGAGTTTCTGAGAAGATAGTGTGCAACAAAACAAGAAAAGCCTGATTTATGGCAGACGGGGGACTTGTTTTGCCACCAAGACTATGTACCTGCTGACGCAGCCATAACAGTGTGCCAGTTTTTGACCAAAAAAAAAAGAAAGCATGCCTCTCTTGCCCCACCACCTTACTCATCTGATCTTGTTCTGTAGGACTTCTTTTGTTTCTGTGAATGAAGAGGGACATGAAAGGACAGCGATTTAACAATGTGGAAGAGGTGAAAAACAAACAAACAAACCACTGAGGTGCTGTCAGCCATCCAAACAGATGAGTTTGAAAAATGTTTCTAAGAATGGAACTGCAGATCTGACAAATGTATTAAGTGTAATGGAGGGTACTTTGAAGGTGACAAGGTTGTTTTGTAAAAAAATTTAAATACATAGTTTTAGGGGGGAAAATTTCCAATATTTTTGGGGGTCCCATCTGTATGGGTCAAGAGACAGCTATGAGAAAGGAACAAGGAAATAATGCGTGGTTTAAAATCAGGAGAAGTGTATGACAGGGTTGTATCCTATCATTATATTTATTCAATCTGTTCATTGAGCAAATAATCAGAGAAGCTGACTTATATGAAGAAGAATGTGGCATCAGGATTGGAGAAAAGCTTAATAAAAACCTATGATATGCAGATGACACAACCTTGCTTGTGGGAAGCGAGGAGGACTTGAAGCACTTGCTGATGAAGGTCAGGATTGCAGCCTTCAGTGTGAATTACACATCAATGCAAAGAAAACCCAGATCCTCACAACTGGACCAATAGGTCATGATAAACAGAAAAATATTGAAGTTGTTGAGGATTGTGTCTTGCTGGGATCCATAATTAATGCTCATGGAAGCAGCAGTCAGGAAATGAAAATATGAGTTGCATTGGATACTCATGCTGCAAAAGACCTCTCGAGTGGTTTGGAAAGCAAAGGATCTTACTTTGAGGACTAACGTACATGTGCTGGACCCAAGTAATGGTATTTTCAATTGCCTTATATGCATGTGAAAGTTGACCACTGAATAAAGAAGAGCAAAAAAGTTTTGATATATTTGAATGATGCTGCTGGAGAAGAACCTGGACTGCTATCAGGACCAGCCAGCTGTCTGTTGCTCATGAGAGGCAAGGATGATAAGCTCTTGTCTTATATACTTTGGACATATTGTCAGGAGAGACAAGAACCTGGACGAGGATATCCTGTTTGGCAGAGTAGAGGGGCAGCATGAAAGAGAAAGGGTCTGAAGGAGATGGATTGGCACTGTAGCTGCAATGATGGATTCAAGCACAGGAACAATTGTTATGATGGCGCAAGACCAGGCAGTGTTTTATTGTTGTGCATAAAGTCACTATAGGTGGGAACTAACTTGTTGGCACCAGACAACAATCACCATAACATGAGGTATTGGTAAAACTTTATGCTTTTGCATACAGTGATCCAATTGTCTCCGTATGATTTATTAATAAGACTATTCTTTTCCCAATGAGTGGCTTTGCACTCTTGTAAAAATAAATCTACTAAAAAACATACATAAAAGAAAAGGGAAGGGAATTTTATTTTTAAATTTTTCTTGCGAAGGGAATTTTAAAAGTTCGCTAAAATAAACCAATGAGCCCTGTTGGCGCCGTGGTTGCACATTGGACTGTGTTCCGAAAGGTCAAGAGTTTCAAACTGTCACATGCTCAAAGGGGGAAAGGCAGGGCTTTGTACTCCTGTAAAGAGTTACAGTCCCAGAAACTCAGAGGCAGTTCTACCTGGTCCTACAGGGGACTGTGACTCAAGGACAGGGAGAAAATCAAACCAAAGCACAAAAGCAAGTATGTAATGCGAGAGGAAAGAGAAGGCCCAAGACACACACACACAAAACAATGAAATGGCAAAAGTAATTAACTTCTTCTAAGTTATTACAATGACTGCGAGTGGACCAAATGCTTCCATAGAAAGTCAGAGAGTGGCAGAATGGATACAATGACATATCCAACCCTGTGCTCTTTACCAGAGTCACATCTTAAACTCAAAACACAAATGGGTTGAAAAATTCCATATAAATAGTAGCCCAAAGAAAGCTGAGATGGTAATCATATTTTAAAATCATTTTCTTGGGAGCTCTTACAGATATCATAACATTCCACAGTTTAATCACATCAAGCAGTATTATATGATTGCTACCACAATCAGTTTCAAAGCATTTTGTTTCTTCTTGAGCTCCTTGATATCAGCTCCCCTTAGTCCACTCCTTCCCCACACTCCTTCCCAGGAACCCTTATTCTTTTTTTTCCCTATAATAGTTTTTTTGGCCATATCTTTCACAATCCAATATATCCATTCACATACAATTCTGTTGTTCAATGCGATCAGCTCCCCATTCCCCCTTTTCTCTTGCCTCTCTCTTCTGGTACCCTCAGGGAACCATTACTCTTATTACTGTTTCTGAAGGGTTATCTCTCTTGGCTTTCATGAACCGAACAATTATAAATATACAAATGAATATATGCAAATCTAACACGATTAATGAGGTAAAACAAATAAAAACCATAGTAGTAAGGGCAGGAAATATTAAAGAACTAGAGGATAGTTATATGGTTCATCAGTGCCATACTGCATCCTGGATTTATCATCTCTTCTGTGAGGCCATTCTGTGAGAGACTGTCCAATTGTCTTACAGGTCGGTTTTGGGTCTCCACTGCATCCCCACCCCTTCGCATCAATTTGGTTGCTTGTTTTTGAATTTCTGATACCTCTTCCTATACACACCTCACGATCACACAGGCTGGTGTGCTTCTTCCATGTGGGCTTTGTTGCTTTCCTGTTTACAAGCCTTTAAGACCCCAGAAACTATATCTTTTATATAGCCAGGCACCATCAGCTTTCTTCACCACTTTAGTTTATTTACCCATTTGTCTTCATCAATAGTGTCAGGAAGGTGAGTGTCATGCAATTATTATTACATTATTATTATTATTGCATTATTAGAACAAACCATTCTTGTACTAAGGTAAGACTTAAGTAGAGGCCCAAAGTCCATCTGCTTCCTTGTTGCATGTGCATATATACATATACACACATATGTACATATACAAACAAATACACACACAGTTTTTCTTCATCCTACCCCACTATTCTGTTTACCCATTAATCACCTCTCAGTAATTCCTCTCAGATACAATTCAATTGATTCAACACCACCAGAAAAGGTACACCCTCCTTGCAATCAATTTTAGAACACTTACTATTTCCTTGTACCCGTCATTGTTGGCTCCCTGATCACCTCCCCTCCCCCACCACCCCTCTCATGCCCCCCAGGAACTGTTGGTCCAGTCACTGTCTTTGTAAGATTGCCTATCCTGCCTATATTGTATAGATAAACACCAAAGTGGACAAAACAAACAAACATACTAGCAGGGATCCTGACACAGAACAGATGAATGCCTCTCTGTTAAATAGGTGAAGGACATGTTATAAACCATCAGTTCAGTCCCTGTTTCTTTCAGGGCTGCATATCCTGGGTACCGCTTACCTAGCAACACATACCTCCTTTTAGTTTTCAGCATTCGGATCTAAAACGCGAGCATCCGAAAAGTCCCCATTGCTATTCTTGCAGTCAAGAATGGAGCGGTCTACTGCCCCCCCCCACAGTTATGCTTTTAGACATACAGTGTTGCCCCCTTGTGAGTAATCCCCAACCAGTTCATATGGGGTGCCAAGTTCTTCCTCCAAGTCAGAAATCTACTTATCAGGATTCTTTGGGGATTTTGTGGCTTTGCTCTCATCATTGGTCTGTTGTCTTCCCCTCTTGATTTACCCCCATGTGGGGAGGTCAGATTGGCCGTTCTCCCTGAGCTGTGAGATGGTAATCTTAATATCAGACTAGAAGTCATTATCTGTGAAAAGAAATAAAGGTAGAAATCTCACAAGGATAACTCAAAAGTATTTTCACACACACACAAAAATAAAATAAAAACTAAGAAGTATTTTCACAAAAATTATAGAAACCTTCATTAAACAAAAAATTAAAAATATGAAGCTATTGTTTCTTGGCATCTATTCCATCTAGGCCCATCTACTTCTAAAGGCACTGTTTCCAGCTCTTCAACCTTTCCCCAAAGAATACTGTACTCTTTGACTTATGCCATATCAAAACGCCAGCATTGGTATCCTCATGGAACTCAAATTATACTTCTTTGACATGTTATTTGAGTTTAGGGGAGCAACAGCAACAACAACAAAAACTATCTGAACAGGCAAGAACAAGATAGTACAGTGTGTGGGGTAAATTTTCCCAATGAAATTTTCATAGGACAGCCCTTATTCCCCTGAAAGAATGACTAGGTACATTGTTGTGATGGGAGAAAAAATTTCTTCAGCACAACTGTCTGGGTTTTTTTCCTTTCTTTCTTACCAATGCAGTTTTCTATTTTCTTAAAAACTTTTTCCCATAATTGCCCATGATCACCTGGTGTTCTTCAGGGAAATCTACCAAGATTATCAAGATGACTCCTAATCTTTTGGGTGATCTCTCTGCCTTGAATTTGACTAACCTTGCAGATCTGTTTGGAAGCCACTGTTTTGGTTGGACTTTTTTTTGAAGACACTGTAATGATATTGAGGAAAATGCATTACTCAGATAGTTTGTCTACAGTCACCCACTCATTGCAGAGACATGTTTAAACATGTTTTGTTCAGAATAAACTGATAAATGTATGAATTGAAACCCCAGTAGCAATATTTTTTGACTTACCCTCATATAGTGTTAAAAAGGTTAGGCAAGAATGTCAAGGGTCAGAAATATATAAACCAATGAGACATGGCAGACATATATGGAACACTCCAACCCCAAGGAACACAGCATACATCCTCTTCCAATGGATATATGCAGTTTGCTCCAGTACAGACCACATTCAGTTCTGATAAGTTAAAAATGATTTAAATCACACAAAGCATTTCTTCTAGCCACAACTGAGTGAAGCTAGCCATCAACAACAGTAAAAGAGAAAGGGAGAAAAAAAGGAAACTTTATAAGCATCTAGCGATTAAACAACAAACAATGCAAATGAGTAAAAAACAATAAATTAAAAAAATCCACAATGCCAATGAGTGAAGGAAGAAATCAAGAGAGAAATTATTAGTTTTTCAGAGTGAAATGAAAAGGAAAGCACACCGTACAAAAGCCTCTGGAAGTCAGCACTCAGAGGGAAACTTACAGTTATAAATGCCTACATAATGAAGAAAGATTTCAAATATAACGACCCAATTCAACAACTCCAGGAACTATGTAGACAAGAGCAAACTAAGTCTGAGCTACCAAAAAATAGGAAATAGCAAAGGTCAAAACAGAAAAGAAACCCAAAACACCAAAAACCAATAATCAGCAAAACCAGAAGGTGGTTCTTGAAAAAAAAAAAAAAACAATCACTAAAATGGAAAAAGCTTCGGCTGAACTGGCAAAGAAAAGAAAAGGCACCAGTAAGCGAAACAAAAACGAAATAGGGGCATTACAAACGAACAGATAGAAATCAAAAGTATCATGATGGAGTTTTTAAAAACCAAACTTTTTACTATGAGTATTTATAGAGTAGATAATATACATCTGGTTTCAACTCCTCCAGTGCAATCCCCTCAATGCAACATCACTTATCCCTCTGTTTCCTGTTCCTTTTTGTCCTTCTTCCCTAACCATCTGAATTTTTTCCTGGGGTAAATGCTGGCCCCTTTTTTTACCGTAAAGATTTTTGATTATTCTAACATGGAGGTGAGTTCACTTCCAGACCAGAATGCAGGGTGGCTGAGTCCTAGTCCGCCGAGTCCCAACTGTCTCTCTCTGAGCAGAAAGCCTGGTCTATATAATGATTTTTATGCTGTTCCACATTTTTCTCCCACTCTATCTAGATCCTTCTCATTCACTCATTGCCAGTTGGTAGCGGTAGCCAGACAACAGATATTTCTTCTGTTTTCAGGGTTGTAGAGACTGATGTTTGCATGGACTATTATTTTCCATATGTTTTCCAATTTTCATCACTCTTTCCATTTGGAGAAAGACCAGTACCATAGGTCATGAGCTTTTATGATCCTAGTCACTCATCACCAAGTAGGATGCACAACATTGTGTTTGTGAGCTATGCAATGTCAATTGACGTTGGTGTCCCATGAGACCAGTATCCTATGCTCCTAAACCCAGTGACTCGCTCCCTCGTGATGTTTGGTTATGTTATGATCGGAGTCTTCCCAAAACTGAGCACTAGTTTGCTTAACTAGTAAAAATTATCTGCCTTAAGCACTATTTATATGAGATCAAATTGACAACAGGCACTTGAAAGATTTGTAAGAATCTTATAGGGCAGTGAGATTATGTTAACGAGGGAGGAACAATTCAGAAAAGCAGGGTGAAATGGCTGCACAACTCGAAAAATGTAATAACTAAATTGTATATATTTTGATGTGTAAAATCTCACCAACAGCAAAATAAATAAAACTGAAAGAAAAACAAATCAAGTCACCATAGATGTATGAGTATTTATAGTTCTTAATATATAAAAAAAGGAAACACATTCCTTTCCTTATGGCCTGTCATGAAGATAGATGTGTGCATTGATAAGGACAACAGAAAATGTGATAAATGTTGACTATGGAGAAGTACGCTCTTCCTGTAACCTGTTAGAGTGGTGACACCGGAAAGCTTCTCTGAGGAAATGGTCTAGGAAATGGGCCTTCAAAATGAATAGGCGCTCACTCAGTGGAGAAGGGAACGCTACTACTGGAGGCTTGAGACTGATGTGCGGAAACCACACTCAGCAAGGGATTTGATCATTGCTGCCCATGTTTGTGTGTCAGGCCCTATAGAATATTTCCTCTATGCCACACACGGGTTGGTGGTTCCAGGATTCCCAAAGTCTCCAGGGAAGAAAGACCGGAATAAAACAACAAAAACCCTGCAGATTTACTTTCCAAAAATGGTATTGAAAGCCCTCTAGAACATAGTTCTACTTTAACACACACAGGTCACCATGGGTTGGAATCAAATGATGGCAAATGGTGAATTATTCCTGGGGGTGGGGAATAGCTGGAGCACATATGCAGTGAGGTTCATACGCCAGAGAGCCAGCCTTGCTTATACCTGTTATTTGGCTAGCGGGCTTCCAATAGCGTCCTGATGAAACTGTGGTACTGTATACGCGCAGAAGCACTGCCTTGCCTCACACCTGGTGCTAAGGTGACCTTTGAGGTCACTTTGCAGACCAACTCTTTGGTGGAGAACAGCAGTCCTGCACTGTTTGAGTCCTTCTCCCTCCCTTAGCATTACTTCTGCAACTGCTTTGCTCTGAGAGCGAGAGGGCACAAATATCACACCTCCCAGTAGCTCTTGAGGAAGATTGAGCAAAAGGTCAGTGGTTCCAACCCACCAGAGGTCCCACTGGGGCAGAGTTGGTGGTTTACTCGTGTCAAGAGTAGAGTCTGGGAAACCCTGTGGGGGAGTTCTACTTTATTACACAGGGTTGCTAGGAGTTGCAATTGACTTGGCATACAAAAACAGGAGAATAATAATGAACGTTTACTGAGTGTTTAAGGAGCCCCCGTGGCACAGTGATTAAGCGTTTCCGGGCCTTACAGAGAGGTTCATGGTTGGAGCCCACTAGCTGTTCTTGAGAAGGCTGTGACGGCAGGCTTTTGTAAATATTTACAGGCTCGGAAACTCGTTGGGCACTTGGGCTCTGCTCAACATGCGTCCTCATCGACTTGACGGCAATGAGGGATTTTTTTGGTGGTGGTGGGTGCAGGGGAGGGCATATATTTTGTGTCAGGCACTGTGCTGAGTTTTTCTAGTCAGTCTTCTCCGGTTCTCACAGCAATAATCTGAAGTTGGAACCGCTGTTACAGATGGGAAAACGGGGGCTTAGAAAGGAGAGGGGTCTTGTTCGTAGAAGCACAGCAAATTGGCATTGGAACTCAGGTCTTTCTGATCCAGAAGCAAAGCTTCCTCATCAGTGACACATCCATGGATAGCCTCAGGGATTTCCGCTGTGGAAGTAGAAAGAGACTCGAAGGTCGACTCCCTCTGTAGCTAAGTCCCGACGCTGACGGATCCTGCCATATGTCCAAAGAAGCCTCCAAACTCGGTTTTCCTTATTCTTTTTCCCGATGGGCGAAGCAGCGCGCACGCGCACGCGCACTTTCCTGGCCCCACCCACAGGGAGGGCGCTGCTCCAGCTCCAGGCTCGGGGGCTTGCGCACTCCAACCACGGGCGGCGGCACCTTCCCGGTGGAGGACTTCCGGTGAGCCTGGGTGTAGTTCCGGGTCGTGCGCGCGGCTCTGGGCAACAGGGTAGCAAAGCTGCACAGCCGGCCGCAGGCGGCGGGAAGCGTTGGTATGAGGGCCAACTTGGGAAGCGACAGTTGAGCGGGCCGGGAGGAGCGCCAATCTCCGAGGACCCCGGGGGTCCGGAGCTCGGGGCAGGGGCTAGGAGGCGCGGGGAAGCCGGGCCCTCCCTTCAGGAACGTGTTCCGGGGCCGGCCCGGCCCGAGTGTGGAAGCAGCGTCAGGTAAAGGTTGCCCCAGCCCCTGGCTCACTCGTTCGCCCGCCGGCTCCCCCGCCGGTTCCCCCGCGGGGCCTGGCGCCCCGCTTCGGTCCGCGCGCAGCGCTGCCCAGACGGCCGCCCATGAAGCTGGTATTCAAGTTACCGGGGAGCATCTGTTCACTGGTTTGTTTTTTTTGAGACCTGGAGGCTGTTGTGAGCCTGACATCAGGGTGTGTGTGATTTGGACGGGAAACTAGTGGACTAGAGGCGGGGCGGGTGGTATGGGGTTTACCCCGGAACTTTCTGGCCCTGCACTTGATGGTATTTGGGTTTCCTGGTGTTCATAATATGAAAATCAAGTTTTAAAAGCATTGCCTTTTGTGGTCCTTGTATGTTAGCGCATCTTCACCCCGCTTCCTCCAAAGAGTTAAAGCAGGCTCGCAGACTCACTACCGTTTTGTCTTGTTCGGTTGCTGCTGGAACTTTGGTTTAGTTTTTTTGTTTATGGTGTCGGTTAAGAGCTTCCTAGGCCTGCTTAAGGGTAAAAAGTAATAATTGTAGTTAAAACACGAATCTAACTTAGCCAGAGACTCGAAAGTTAACTTACAAAATAGTTGAAACTGAATTCCGAATGAATGCAAGTCGTTTTCGACACCTATGATGTACGTGGCCCTGTACAAAGCATCTTGTAACTGTAAACCAAAAATCAACAAAATAAAAAAACACACTAACAAAAAACCAGAAACAAAAACCCAGGCGTGAACAGAGTCAGGCAGGTGTCAACATATAACAGCTTTCAAAACAACAACAACAAAAACCGACTACCAAAGAGAAGTTATCATACTATTTTTGACACCGAAGGGATGAATCTCTAATGTGGAAACTCCCAGAGCAGGAAAGCAAGTAACATCTTTTAATCCTCATAGTCTGTGAGCCCGTAGAAGATGATCACTCCCCATTTGCTGGAAGGGTTTTTGATGAAGCATTGAGAGCAAGGTTTTCATCTCTTTTCCCTTTATAAACCTGCAAAGCTGCTGGGGCCTTTGGGCCCCTCCACCAGTCAGTTTTGTTACTCCCCTCTGCCTTTAGCTGCTTTGTGTGCCCACAGCCCTCATGTTCTTCCACACCTTGTACTCTGCCTCACCTCTGCCTCTGTAGCTACTCTTGGAAACTCCCTTTCCTAAGTTATTCCACCTGATTTATTAAGTAGAATCTCAAATCCAGTGTGGTCTTCCTGATGTCTAGCATTTGTCTGCTCTTTCCACTTACTGAGATGCTATTGACAGCCTGTCTTTGCTCAGCTTTTCTGGGACAGCTGCCCCACTAGAATGGACTTTTCCCTCTAGAGTCCTATAAACACTATTAAATCTACAGTAATTTCTTTTAGCAAATATTTATTGAGTTTGGTTATGTACTAGGCCCCACAGTAGACACTGGAATTGTAGAGTAAACCTCCATGCTTGCACTCAGGGAACTCATATTAGTGAAAGAGAAATGAATTATTCCAACACAGTGGATAAATACACTGTGAGTTATAGTTGTGATACAATGGTGGTATAGAAGGGGGATGGTGTTAACCCACTTGAGGGGTGGGGTATGGGCAGGGAATGCTTTGTAGCATGGGGTAAATGCAGCTTTATTGAGTATTTTCCATTTACTGGGTATTATTGTTTATACTCGTGTATAAGCCAAGTTTTCCAGCACATTTTTAATGCAGTTTTTGTCCTAAAGTTAGGTGCCTCTGTTGATATTCGGGTTGGCTTATACTCGAATATATATGGTATACAAATAGCTGTGGTGGCATAGTGGATTACAAGTTAGGCTGCTAACAACAAGGTGAACAGTTTGAATCCACCAACCTCTCCACAGGACAAAGATGAGGCTTTCTACTTCCATAAAGTGTTACAATCTCAGAAACCCACAGGGACAGTTCTGCCCTGTCCTATAGGGTCACTGTAGGCTGAAATTGACTCGATGGCAGTGCATTTGGAGTTTTGTTTGGGTATTATACAAAGGAGCCGTGGTAGTGGTGCTGGGGAAGCATTGGAAAGCTAACCAAAGCCAGGAGTTCTCAACCTTCCTAATGCGTCGACCTTTAATACAGTGCCTCATTTGGTGGTGACAGCCCCCCCCTAATCATAAAAGTATTTTTGTTGTTACTTCATAACTGTAATTTTGCTACATTTATGACTCGGGCGACCCTTGTGAAAGGGTCGTTCAATCCCTAAAGGGGTCACCACCCACAGGTTGAGAACTGCTGCTCGAGGTGCTCAGCTGAGAAAGATGAGGCATCTGCTTCTGTAAAGATTTACAGCCTTGAAAGCTCTGTCTAGGGTTACTGTGAGTTGTATTTGCCATGGAATTTTGGTTCTTATACAGAGTGAAGTACTCATTGGCCTACTAATCACAAGGTCAACAATTCCATCCCACCAGCCACTCTGTGGGAGAACAATGAGGCTGTCTGCTTCTGTAAAGATTTACAGCCTCAGAAAATTAAAGAGTCTTCTTTGTCCTAGAGCAGGGGTCCTCAAGCTTTTTAAGGAGGGGGCCAGTTCACTGTCCCTCAGACCCACTGGAGGGCCGGCCTAGTTTAAAAAAAAAACTATGAATAAATTCCTATGCACACTGCACATATCTTATTTTGAAGTAAAAAAAACATGGGGCAAAAACACCCGGTGGGCCGGATAAATGTCCTCGGTGGGCCGCATATGGCCCGCCAGCCGTAGTTTGAGGATGCCTGTCCTAGAGGCTCACTATGAGTCAGTCAACTTGATGGCAGTGGGTTTGGGTATTACATGTAGGTTTATTTTGTAAAATCATCTTACAGTTAAAGGCCAAATTTACAGATTAGGAAGAATCAGAGTAAATTATACAGTTGTTATGGGACAGCAACATAATTCAAATCAAGGTCTATCTGATGCCTAAATCTGTGGTGTTTTCCCTTTTATACTCCTTGCCTTCATTCTTAAACCACAACTCTCTTTATACAACTACATATTGAAAAAACTAAGGAGAAAAAAATTATGAATGTGATAATGAATAGTACAGAAAGTTTTTAAGATGAATGTTCATCTTCCACAGCTAGAATATGATAGATATGTAAACTCAGTTTTGAATATGAGCCAAAAAGACATTCTGTGGATTCTTTATTGACTTCCTGTCCAGCCTAGTCTTACTAGATAGCTAATTTTTGACAAACCTAACTTCCATAAACAATTTTTGCCACTACAGAGTGGTTGGAATAGGGGAATGATACTGACCTCATGGAGTATTGTGAATATTTAATGAACTAATGTGGATGCAAGGTAGACAGTAAGGTACCTTGAAGTACATGTTAGTTGTAATGTGCTAAAGTGTCATGGCTTCTTCTAAATAAAAACAAACACGCACTGTCATCAAGTTGATTCCAACTCATAGTGACCTAATAGAAGTGACTAGAGGTGCTGTCTAGGCTAGGGTTTCCAGGGCTGTAAAGCATTATGGGATCAGGCAGCCTCATCTTTCTCTGAGGAGTGGCCAGTGGGTCTGAACTGCTGACCGATGGTTAGCAGCCTAGCACATAAACCACTATGCTATCAGGTCTCCTTAGTTTCTTTTATAAGGTGAAAAACCATACCTGTTGCCATTGAGTTGATTGTGATTCATAGTGACCCAACTGGGAATGAAATATTAAGCACGGAGCTGGCCCAACAGCTGAGGCCCAACAGGTAGAAATATGTAGCAGTCTACTTTGGTAAAGACTCCAGCCTTGGCAACCCAATGGGGCAGTTCTGTTCTGTCCTGTGGTATCACCTTGATTCAGAATCAACTCATTGGCAGTGGAATGGGCATTAGTTAATTGGAGGGACACTAGGGGGTCAGAATCATTGAGGCCTTTGAGTTCTAGCCAAGAAAATTCATTCTTAGTTCATTCATTCTATTTTCCACTTAGTAAATATTTCAAGGATCTATGATTCATTCAGCAGTGCCAGGCAAAGTGCTAGATCCTGGGGATACAAAGAATAAAATCAGGTCCCCATGCTAAGGTTGCCAACATTCTAGTGGGAGATGTGTGTGTAGCTAACTAGTAAAATATCATGAACACTAAAATACACGTTCCTACAGGTTACTGCAGAGCACAAAGCAAACACAATACACAAAACTGATAATGCTTACTAACATACTTAACTATATGCCAACATTGTGTTGAATGCATTGTCTAATCCATCCTCCTTTGGGAAGGTGATGTTAACATTCTGATTTTATAGGTGAGGAAACCAAGGTACCAAACTCATTGTAATGAAGTCGATGCCGACTCATAGCAACCCTACAGGACAAGGTAGAACTGTCCATGTGGGTTTCTGAGACTGTAACTCTTTACAGAAGTAGAAAGTCTCATATTTCTCTCACTGAGGGGTTGGTGGATTTGAACTGCTAATCCGTGGGAGAAAGATAAGGCTTTCTACTTCTGTAAACAGTTACAGTTTTGGAAACCTGCATGGAAGTCTACCTTGTCTGGTAGCGTCATTATGAATCGACCAAGGCACAGAGAGGTTAATTAACTTCCTTGAGATTATATAGCTAGTAGAGTTCTTTAGAATTATATCATGTTGATTGTTCTTTGCAATATAGATGGTGGCCTTTTGGAGACACTTCAAAAAGGAGCTGGCCCGTGAACTGTGACTGGATTGTCCCCAACACTGTGCTAGGCAAAAGGGATTATGATGAATGGGCATGAATTCTGCATTCATGGAACTCATCAATCAATGAACTGATCACTGTTTAAATAGACTAATTTTTAGAAGAATTCAAGAAGGTTTGCTTTGTTTGTTGATTCATAACCAGAAAATGTTGCCATTCAGTGGATTTATGTGAGCGATCTGATGGAATTCTGTTAATGTGTGTAGGCCTTATTGTTTAGGACTCAACAAATAGATACCAGAGTATTGTATGAAAAGAATTTTGAGAAGTTGAGACTGAAACATTATCATATTTCAGCTTGTGTTTAACTAGAAAATGACTGGGTACTTAAATTTCACTTGTTG